CATTTTCAGGCACAAAACATCCCAACCTACTAAAGTAACTAGACATAACAGCAAGATAAACACCTATAGACTCAGACGAATGTTGTGTCCTTTTCCTGAGTTCATCAAACAAATCATCAGTATGATGTGCAGTTAAATACTCTCGTTTGAACTCATCTTTTAATTCACACCAACTGTGAGCACGAAGCCTGACATCCTTGTAGAATTGATAAGCTTTGTCGGAAAACAAATCAACACCTGAATCTAACAATATTTCTGATGGAACATGGCGAGCGATACGAAGTTCTTCTACTCGTTCGAGAAAAGCTGTAATGGACAAAGACCTAGATGATCCAGAAAACTTTTCTAATCCCCACTTATGTGGCGGTACCATTTTAGAATTCAGGCTATGAGATATATTAGCCTGCGAAATATTAGTTTGTGAAATATTAGCCTGAGAAGAAGCATGTGGAATACTAACAACAGGAGACGAAGTAGCAGCATTTTGCACACCATTCAAAAATTGTCCATCTAGATTACTAGTCACGACACTCAATGCAGCTGGTACAATAGCATCTTTACTAGGAGGTGGTCGCGATTTCGTCTGAAACTCATCATGCAAACTAATCAATTTGGTCAATATTTCTGTTCTTCTGCCTTCAAGTGTTACATCTCCAGCAGTATCCATTTGATCAAACCTATTCCATGTGTGTGACAACTTACTCTGCAGTTTCTGAGTCTCGCTGACATTATTACTCCCACTATAACTACTTAACAAAGCGTCTAACTCCACACATTTCCTGGAAAGAGCAGCCTCATCATCAGCAAACTTAAAAGGATAACTAGGGTACTTAAAACTATCACCAGCTTTTTCCATACGCAGAGCCATAGAAAGTTGAGATCGCATCTCTTCTGCGGTGCCAACATTGAGACCTCTAAAGCGGAGTTCCCACTCAAGCTCCTCTTTCTCCAAACGATTAATAAACATTTTACGAGCCATCTTAATATCAGAACTCATAAACTCGAAATAAATATAAGTTCCAAAATATACTATAGTGCAAAAATAATAATAAAGTCAAAATTTCAACTATAATACACAATTAGTTGACCTTTTTTTAAATACTCAAAATTCAAATAGTAAAAATCATTTAAAAAGGTGAATCAATGAATCAAATTGGTACACTATTCAGTTCTTACAACAAATGGTAAATGCATATACATATACTCAATTCTATCAGCATGAAAATTATCTAAGACTTATATTCATCAAAAAGCCAAGGTAATTACTCAAAATATAATATTTTAAACACGACGGCCCCACGTTGGGCGCCAAAAATGTAACCTACAAAATGAACTTGGTGATTCCACCAAAATTTTTAAACTTAAAAAAAAATTATTAAAGTATTAACTACAATTAAAATGTTGTCTACTACGGTTACACAAGTTTCGGTTGTTCCGGTGTCAACCTTCGGGCCTTCGACGTCGCTCAGACGGCAGCTAGGGGGTGGATAGCTTACAAAAATTCCGGAAATAGTAGACAAATAAATAGGCGCCAACTGGGTCTATATAGTGGCCAAACTATGATCCTATTTCCCCAAAAACCCAGTAAATGAGGAAAGAAATAAAAGACAAACCTCAACTTATGTTCCTTTATAAAGAAAAAAAAAAAATATTTAGTAAATATACAAACTAATTACCTGATGGCTTAGATAATAAAAAAAAAAGTTGGAGGAAATTAAAAGGAAAAACTTACACAGTGTATGTATATGCATAACCCAAAAAAATTAATAAATGTATCAAAGTATGGAACGGTTCGTCGTTAGCTTGGTACCAGGCATGACGCTTGCGCAAAACATTAATTTCCACCTTACATAAAAAAAATATAATATAATAGTTAACTTAAATATTGTGCATCACCGTACCTATACTACTTCATATATTATAAAAACAGTAAACTTATAATCTTTATAATCTTATAACCCTCTCCAAATTGGAAGGCGATATCTGTTCAACTTTTGGTTAAGACCAAACTACCCAAAAGAAAATCATTAAACCATGAAATTTTATAATTAAGTATAATTCATAGAACTAAATAAAAGTATAAAAAAAAATAATAAAAATACAACATATAAAGGACTTTAGGCAGAGGTTATTTAATTAAACTCCCAGATTGGAAGAGGTTACTTAATCTCTGCCCCCACACGGGTCTTCTGAGATTGCTTAACTTATAGTTAAGTCTTATCATAAAAAGAAAAATAAACAAAATGTAAAAGTGAAGAATAAGGTTAAATTTGACTGTAGTTCTTAATAACCGAAGATTTACAACTTATGCGTAGAAGCAGCCCAGATGTTCTGCAACTAGAAGAATCACTACTCCAGCATTAAGTACTTATTTAAATAAAAAAAATAATAATAATAATAATAAATGAAAGATACACAAAGGACTTCAGACACAGAGGTTATTTACTTAAACTCCCAGATTGGAAGAGGTTACTTAATCTCTGCCCCCACACGGGTCTTCTGAGATTGCTTAACTTATAGTTAAGTCTGGTCCATTTAATAATGAATAAATTGAATAAAGTAAAATTATGGCAGTAGCCCTTAATAACTGAAGAATTACAACTTAAACGTGGAAGCAGTCCAAGTGTTCTGCGACCCGAAGGATTACTACATCAGCATTAAGTGCTTAAATTAAGTAAAACTTTAAAATATTAATCAATTAAACGATGTAACATTTGATAATACTTAAGTTATGAGTGAAATAACCCTAGAACATTCTGTGCTCAAAAGTATAAATAATGTTGAGAATACCTTGACAGCATTCGATTGAAAGTGAATGTATAGTTTAACAAAGCACGCATGAAACCTTCAATATAACGTATAAGAAAAACCTGATAGTAGGGTGTCTTCTTTCACAGCATTCCCATCTTCCTATCCAGAACAAGAAACATTCTTGTAAATCTAGCTACAAGTAAACTAGGTGGCTAGCATACCAATGTTCTGTGTCCCCTCGATGAGTCCACGATGAAACCGTTGAACTCCGGACGATATAACCCTCTGTGTACAACTGTTGAAATCCTGGGTCAACAATCCCTTGGGTCAAACTGTCGTCGAATCCTGGGCTAACAACCCCCTGGGTTAAACCCTTAAAATTATACAAAGAAAAATGTCAATACACATTGACTCAAGTATCCCGAACTATAGGATTACCCAAAAATGTACATAAACTAGAAAATATTCAGTATCTAGGATAAAGAAAAATTACATTGGCTCAACAGTGAGTCATAAACAGTATTATGAGCTCAAATAATTAAAATTCTGTTACACATGGTTGGTAACATAACCTAATATATACAAAACATACCTTTTTCGTAAAGGGTTAACTTGGTAGCCTTTCAAGGATGAGAACCACGTGAGATGATTCACAGCACAACAATATTCCACACTCCAAATGCTGTGAACGTCCAATTCTTGCGTTAAAATCCTATATTAGATATGGGCTGGACCAATGACCATGGGAATTTACCAATTCACTAAAATTCCCCTCAAAATACGAAATGTCCATTTACCCACAGTTAACCATGAAATAGAATCTAAAATCCCCTTTAATTAGGGTAAGCCGATGGGGCTAAATATTAAGAAAATTCTATTTCGACACAAAAATCGTCTCTCGTGACTGAATACCCACTGACAGAAAAAAACAATACGTCAGCCGTCCAAAATGGCCGAAATCCCTTTCCGATAAATTTCAAGTGGGTTCAGAAATTCATCCTCAAGAATTCCCCACTATATAACTTAACAGACCATTTACGAAAGGTACCCTAAAAACTATATTTATATACAGTATAACTACATTTGGGAAACTGTTCCCGACAAAAAATTAACACAACAGCGATCGCAAAACAAAATCCCTCACGACTTAAAATCGCTCATTGTGAAACTACCTTACCTCGGGTTCTGAGCCCGATATTGGGAACGTTTCACCAACATGACACTTGTCGGTGTTCTGTCGTCAAGTGACGTTTATGTCATTCACTGTCATAATTAAAAAATATTAACCTAACCTGACATCTGTAACAAAAATAAACAAAGAAAGTCTTAAAGAATGGTATCGTAAATAATTAATTACCCAAAGGTGAGACTATAATACATAATATGTATAAATTTATAACGAAACTTGGTCTATTTTTAGGAGAATCTGGCAAATTAAAACAGTGAACACTACACTGAAAATATGACCATTGTACCAAGTATTATACTAGGGGTGAGCTACCATCCTTTTACTTAGTGATGAGATGAAATAAATTGTAATAATGATGTCCAAAAGTTAGAATACAGGTGAAATTAGTTAATGACCAAAATAATAGTGATATCATCCATACGATTTTACCCTTTTTTTTTCGTATGATTAACCAGGTAAGCCAAAACAATTTTATTAATTCGTGGGGCCAAAAATGAACGTTACACTCCCGGACTACTAACATCGTGCGGTAGACCCACAGCCCCGTACAAATCTTATAAACTTAGCTCGTTGTTAGCGTAGGCAAGTCCAAACCAACTTTATCATTTCATTACCATTTGACAACGTAATTTTTCTATTAAAATAAAATACATCACAACAAAAACGTGTTAACAGTAAATTAATAAATTAAAATTTGGTCTAAGCGGAAGTGGTTCTTCATATAATCTCGACTGAATTTCCTTATAAGTAAGTGGTTTAATCTCAGATTATATATTGCTATTTAATATAACCTGAACTGAATTTGAATAAATATTATTTTCTGCAAATCATTATGATTTTACTTTATGCAACCAAAGTTACATTCCGAAATACGATATTGCCTATACTTTGAAACTATTCATAGGTAGAATAACTACTATTATACAGATAACGGGATCTTACGTTATTTTATTTATAGATATATCCAAGAACTAATAGGTAAATCGATCACTATTAAAAGAACTAATCCTGCATACACCTAGGTACAGAACTATTTGCAAACAACAAAAATATTACTTACCCTGTATTTTTTCTTTTGGCCAAACTAGAACACAGTAATAATAAGGATGGGGGCTGTCCTTGACGAGTTTGGCTTGGAGATCGTGCGGATCGTGCTTGCTTAGTGAATATCAATGAGGTTTATGCAATATGTAGTTCTATCTAGATAAATAAATGAGTGTTATAATTTGACGAACTCCTCTCGCGCAAGTGGCTAGGCGAGCCTCGCACGTTAATTTTTGGACAATTAACATGCATGGGAGTTAATTCTCGAAATATTCGTTCAGCGATCGTACCCCGTTCATGACGTTATGAACGAGGATTTCTTATTAGTGCAATGGGCCATGTTCACATGTGAGATATGCTGTTTTATAAATTATATTGTAATAGTTAGTCGCTATACAAGTTATTCTAAATAATCAGTTCGTTAAAAAAGCCAAAAGTTTTTAAATTAAGCCCAATTGAAATTTAAAATTTGAAATGTATACGTCATCGGTAATAGACCAATCAGCTTGTGTTGAAGTTTTTTTTGTTATACAAAATAAGCCAACGAACAAACCGACACACAGAATGTCGAAGTGAACGCACATCTTAGTGACACTTAAAATTTGCACCACCACCACCACCACCACCTAACCTAACATTCGTTGTTGTTGTTGTTTTCTCAATTTGTTTCTTTTGTCTTTGCCAATTGGTTTAATTTTATTATTAATATGATTTTGTCAGCTGGATTTATAAAAGTTGACTCGACTGTTTTACCCATTGCAAACCTAGATATGATTACCGAGATGATTACTGCATTTTTTAACAATACTCAGTTTATAAAAGACAGAAAGGTTTGTAAGACTTTATTTATAATTTGTTTTAATAGTAGTTACAGTTTATATGGAGCAATACACCTTGTAGTAAAAACATATTTATCTCAGGTCATTAGGGTTGTCGAACAGTAACAGTTTTTTAAAAATAAACATTTTACCTTTACCCTTTACTTCATTTATATTTATAAGAAAAATATATTTTTCTTATAATATATATACTGATATCCACAAATATAACACTAGAAATTGGGACGATATATCTGTACTTTGAAGCAACAAGGGCCAATCTGTAATTTGAGCAAAAGAGCGACGTTTAAAGCTGTGCTGTTGGTATTATTTCTATAATTAGAAGTAAAAGTATAATTATGTATTACCTGAGAAATAGCAAATTTGTTATTGTATAAAACGAGTTCATACAATTTGCCTACCTCAAAAATTAAAACTAAATAACATTTAAAACTATTTAAAAGGGTAGTGCACATGTATTTACTGTAATACTATTTTTATTTGGTCGAGGATTACCTACTTGTTATATGTCTTGTAAACAATTGTAATATAAGTACATTTTTGTGAATGAATGACTACTTTTTGTAAATATACATACTCTTTCCGTTACAACTATTATACATATGTCTAGTATTTACATGAATAAATCTACGATAATATTTTATGAAATAATTTGGAACATAGAAAAGTAATAAAAATTGAAAAAATAAGAATTCATAAAAATGTGCTCTTGAAAATACTAAAAAAATCATCACATTATTATATATTTTATTATTGTTATATCTGCCATCGATTTTCAATGCGATTATCCATGAATAACTTGAGAAAAGGAGATATTTGCCCAGTAAACGGAATAATTACACATGAACATAAAGTATTTTGCATTGTTTCTTCCACTTTGAAGTAAATAATGAAGTCGATAACAAGTTGAATTTCATAATGAATCTTTATAGGACACTTTAATTTGACATCTCCATTATTGTTAGGGCTTGTGTATATATTTTTTATTATTTGCAAATAAAGTGTTTTTTACTTCGTTTATTCTATTCACCACAATGGCAGGTGAATAGGATCAGCAAACAAAAAAATATATATGCGGGTAACGAATCGCTGAAAAAAAATTTTTGAATCAAAAATGAATAGAGCAGATGATATAAACTCATATTTTGATATATACAGGATATATCTCACTATATCACTCTGAGAGATACGCTATTTTAAAATTTAAAATTGTTCCTATTCACCCCATTCTACGGTACCGTCTAACAGGCAACGTTGTGTGACTAGTTCCTATTGGTCTATTTCCGGTGACGTCACAAATTTAAAAAATTAATAACTAATAACTTATTCATAAAAAAAAATTCAAAATTTTTGAACATGCCCCATTCTCGAATTCATTTTAGTGAATGAATGAGTCCGTTCATATTCATCGCTCGTATATATGTTCGACAAAGAGTGGTCGGGAGACGTCGATCCGTTCAACGATTCTCATTTAGCTTCAGAACGTGTAAACAAAATTTCTTTTAAATACATTTATTAATTACAAAATAACGTAAAATGGCTAATTTTAATGAAATTGCTGCTGAAAATGATAAGAACCGAAGTCGAATTATTAGTAGTTAAAGGCAATCGAAAGGAATTTTATGAAAGGTTTGAATCCTTTTCCAACCTATGGGAATTGTTTATTAAATAATGTTTTTGCCAGTAAGTATTTAGATACGTGTAGCTCTTCTATTTTTTGCTTCTTGAAGCTATCAGTTAGACATGGGTTTTACCTTAGACTGGGTAATAAAGAGGGGACGCGTAACAAGTATATCGAGCACACGTAGTATACTTTGCCGATTATCTATTGGCCATTATTTTGGTGCTAATCATTTCGGTGACACTTAAGTTTTTGTTCGTGTTTATTTCTGATTTTTGAATTAAACGACATTTAATAATTGGTTTATTACAATGGTTTATTGTGTGGCATATCAGCGTTAAAGTTATAGCGGCAAGAAATAAGCTGAGATTACGTTTTACAGGTAAATGATAAACATCAATCGTTTTCACTTTAGATATTTTCTTATATTTTTTATTTTATTTGGTGATATACAACTTGGTATTTACATATTGTACGTGTCTCACTCCAGAGTACATTATGCAACTGATTTCGAAAAGTTGATTATGTCACCAGTTACGAAATGAAAATAAATAAAACTACCTCCTTTTTGATTTTTAATTTGAAAAATCAAAAAATCGAAAAATCGAAAAATCGAAAAATCGAAAAATCGAAAAATCGAAAAATCGAAAAATCGAAAAATCGAAAAATCGAAAAATCGAAAAATCGAAAAATCGAAAAATCGAAAAATCGAAAAATCAAAAAATCGAAAAATCGAAAAATCGAAAAATCGAAAAATCGAAAAATCGAAAAATCTAGAAATCGAAAAATCGAAAAATTGAAAAATCGAAAAATCGAAAAATTGAGTAATCGAAAAATCTAGAAATCGAAAAATAAAAAATCAAAAAATCCAAAAAAACGAAAAATCGAAAAACCAAATATCGAAAAGAGGCAATGAATAGTGACATTTCACATTTGAAAATATGAACAACATGGCAAAATTCGCGCAGTGACAAATGCTTCCTATGTTAGCTCTACCCTTTCTAACCTCTTTGATTATTAGACACGGTGAGAATGAACTGCACTAAAAAGCAGTAAATCCTATTAGTTGGCGGTTACTGCTTTTAGTATTTTTCCAACAAAACCACTGTAATTACAAAAAGAATTTCGTTTTATTAACTTTATTAATCAAGAAATCTCTTATCAGTAATTGCTATATAGTGGTCACATCATTGAACTAAAATATATATTTTTTTTTGATACTTTATTAAACATCGTTAATTCCAAAAAAGAAAATCAAAATTTACGTAAGAATTAAATATCATCAATCTCGGATCTTAAATCGGCTGCTTCATCATTGACGGGAAGTCTCTGCCAAAATTGTCTTTGATTTTCAGGTATTAATGTAACCAAATTTTGCAGAATTGCTTGCTTCCATTTTTCTATAATTCCTCTTGGTTTTTCAATGACAATAGGTGCTTTGAAACCACCCTTGGCTACCTAATTAAAAAAAAAAATTATTTCAAAGTTACCTTAGTCCATTTAAAATAAGGTCGAGAAACGCCGCACTTGACGAGACCACTTGTCCCCTACGTATTTTAGGGCAGTGATTACGAAAATGAGGGTTAAAACTGGCAGCAATGGTTGGAACACCCCTAAAATTGCAAAAAACACTTCTAAATAGGAACGTTTTTCGACTGTACTTGTTGTTTTGCAAACTAAGCCATCTTATATGTTTTTTGGGACGCTGATTACGAAAATCGGGGTTACAACTTGCAGCAATGGTTGCACCACCCCGAAAATTGCAAAACAACATCCTCAAGTATGTGTTTTTCGACTATACTTGTTGTTTTGCAAACTAAGCCATCTTATATGTTTTTTGGGGCGCTGATTACGAAAATGGGGGTTAAAACTTGCAGCAATGGTTGAACCACCCCTAAAAATGCAAAAAAAACCTTTAGGTTGGGGTATTTTTGACTGTATTTGTTGTTTTGCAAAATAACTCATCTCATATGTTTTTGGGTTGCTGATTTCGAAAATCGTGGTGTCGAGACTGGACAATTTGTGTGACACCCTCCACATGCCAAAAACAACCCTCCCAACCGGTGGATTTTGGTGAAAAATGAAATATAAAATTCAAAAACTAAAAATGGAATGTATTTTTATTAATAAATATGAAATGAAAGTATCAAACCTCTTACAAGATATCACTATTCAGTTGTATTCAAATCTAGTCTTGGTATTTTGCATGGAGAAATTTCTTCATCCTTGTCATTCTATTGCCCAATCAACTTCTGAATCACTTTAAATAAAGACTAAAAAAATACGAGTATCAGAAAGATCTTGATACTTTTTGTTCAAAAATTAAAATTAATTTGGAGTGTGCTGGACAGCGACCCAAAAAACATATAAGATGACTTAGTTCGCGAAACACCGTGACTGGTAATTTTTTTCGAAAATTCACCTCTTGGGAGGGGTGTGTCTGGCATGTGGGGAGTCTCACACAAATTTTCCAGTCTAGACACCCCTATCTAGGGTTTTTTTTGCAATTTTAGGGGTGGTTCAACCATTGCTGCAAGTTTTAACCCCGATTTTCGTAACCAGTGCCCCAGAAAACATATGAGATGAGTTAGTTTGCAAAACAACAAGTACAGTCGAAAAACACCCCTATTTAGGGGTATTTTTTGAAATTTTAGGAGTGGTTCAACCATTGCTGCAAAATTTAACGCCCTAAAAAAACATATAAGATGGCTTAATTTGCAAAACAACAAGTACAGTGCGCCCCAAAATACGTAGGGGACAAGTGGTCTCGTCAAGTGCGGCGTTTCTCGACCTTTTACCGTTATTTAAAATGGACTACCTCGCTTAGCAACAACTTCAACCATGTCCTTCAAGTAGGGCCGAGCTGCTGTGTGGTTAATTTTGTAAATTGACGAGTTATTAGGCCAAAGAAAAAACCTCCAACTGCATTTCTTTGGTCTCAACCTTTCCAGAATTAGCTGATTGAACGCAATACACAAAATCAGCGAAGTTATACACCTTTTTCATTCGCTGCAAAGATTGTTCCACCTGATGGTGGAAACTGTCAGCTGACATAAAGTTGTGCCCTGGTTTAAAATATCTAAAGGTAATTGTCTGTGCTGCAACTCCATTAGAATTGATAATATACATTAAGTATGAGAACAGTGACCAGTTCTTGTTCTGGCCCGCACAGTTGTCAAGCCAAATGATATTATTTTCTACATCACGCATGTGCATAATAAATGCGTGAAATTTACTTATTAATTATTCCTTTTTCCTTTCTGATATACATTCGTGCCAGATGCATGCAAAGGATTTGATCTTCTGTTTCTTTCGAACGACTACAAAGGTTTCAATAAAAACTATAATTCTTTGGCAAAACACAACTTTATTAAACATATCAATTTTAGGCAACAAAATCACCTTTTCCAAGTCAGCTGAAAACACATACTGTGCTTGTTGAAAAATCATACTCTGTATCAGCCCTGTATTTTTGTCGTGCTTCCTTCGATTTTTGAATGTGCTGCTTCCAAAAGTTACAGTGACTGCAGTCCTTCGACAGTGACTGTTCGATATGTTCGGGATTGTGAAGCTTCAAACTCTCACACACTCCTCATAACCCAATGATGCAAAGGAAATATTTAGATACGCTTTTTCTATATACTTCATATAAACACTTTATGTTTGGATGAGTTGTAATAAAATCTTTATGCAAGCTTCGAATGGTAATATCACTCGAAAAATATCGTTTGACTGGGACATGCTGTCTCCGATAATACGACACATAAGGGTTGAAAGATTCAACATGTTTTTGTATTAATTCTTGGTCTATTCGTGATATTTTCACATGTTTTTCTTTTCTGTCAAAGGAAGGTACGATATTAGCAGGATCTTCTTTCACCAAAACATTTGTGATGACTTTGTATCCAAGAGTGCACACGTGCTTTTAACCCTCACTCTTTAAAAAATACTTAAATGTCCTTTTTCGAGCACTTTCTACAGAGCCACGCCTTCTCTTTACATCATGCACGGTAACATTTGACGAAACAAAAATCCTTCTCTCTTGCCAATTCATAGACCAATACTTCGTATTTATTGTTGCGCGTTGATTCTCATTGAATGTTTTTACATTTCTTATGGCATACAACGCACCCGGGTCAAACATAATGTTTGTCTCGTTGCTTCTGTGCCTGCTCTTCATTTCTTGCTTGTTTTGTTTTATTATGTCTCTTTATCTTTCTCAGATCTCCCTTTTTAGTATAACTTTCATCAGAATTTTCACTACGAGAAACATCAGTACTTTTTGAAGCTATGGCACTGATTGAAGCAGCTGTTGCAATGATCTTATTGATCAAAGTCAAATAAGTGTATTTTTTAACTTCTTTTTCTTCATTTTTACGCTCTCCATCATCAGAACATAGATTTATTATTTCCATTGACTGCACAATTTTTAAAATTTTCGTACGTTATGTAGTGGATGAACTTGAAAAAACACATGGTATTGATGTTGTGCGTCTTCCTCCCTATCACTGCAAACTAAATCCTATTAAACTGATATGGGCACAAGTTAAAAGATATGTAGGTCGACATAATCTGACATTTAAGTTAAAAGATGTAGAAGCATTGTTAGAAACCTCCATATCACTTGCTACGAAGGAAAATAGGCAAAAAGCAATTGAGTATGTGTTAAAAGAAAAAGAAAACATGTGGAATCTGGACAAAATGTTGGAAGTCGATATTACAGTGCCACTTTTAATAATATCAGTAAATTATGACTCATTAATTGAATATAGTGATTTAAAGACTCACGATTCCTGATTTTCGAGAGGTACGCATAACTATTTTATATCCAAATATTATAATCATTGCACCACAGCGATTAAATTACAATTATTTAAGTTTAAAATAGTAACAAGAAAAATAATAATACAAACAAATACCCCCTAATTTACCTAACTGTGCGCTCACAAGAGTCTTAAAAGAATTAAAAATAAGGGTAGCTTATTATTTATGTTTCACAAAACCGAACGGTACAGGTAAAATTCTTAATGAAACCAAACCATTTGACTGCAGGCTCTTTAAAATCACAGATTTTGTTTGAGCCACCTTTGCTGTAAAACTCACATAAAATTTTAATTTATTACTCCGTATCGATTGCGATTCTACTATAGTATTTATTTCCCGCCTGTGTGGTAAATAGAAAGAGTTCATAATTTTGTAAAGTTGCCTCGCTAGTGTAAAGTAGCACCGCTCTACGATACAATAGTTTGAATTTCACCAGATAAAATAACATATTTGCCACCTCTTTCATCTAAAATGAACTGTCACTAGACATTTCAAATTCATAATCAAAATTGACGAAACTAAAGAAATTGTTTGACAGTTCAAACTTAATAACGACTACATATAGAAATTTGACGTTTCCATGGTTACGAAAGTCAAAGCAATGTCGATCTGAATTGTTACATAAAAATTAAAGTACAAAAATTGTTCTGCTATTATTGTTTGTACAGTTGGACAACAAATTAATGTTGTTTGTATTTGGTGTTAAAATCAGTGTCTTACGGCGCAATCGATTGAATTTTTGACAATTTCATGCTGCGTTAAAAAAACACTTATTTTGCACACTTAATACAAAAATTCGAGAGACGCCAGAATGGTGGTTCCCACCTTATCGAGACTAAGGCCCACAAAAGTAAACTTGTAGCGTAACAAAAACGAGAAATGATTTAACTTGGGACGAAATACCGAAAGCCGATAGTAGTATTAGGACGTTGAATTGTTTGGTTTGTGAAGCATTGGCATTACATAGGTTAAACCATGTGATGATTTTTACAAGCCTTGATTTTTAAAACCATTCTATATAGCCTTTTGATTAGGGTTTAAAAACTTGTTCGAGCAATTTATCCAATAATAATTGGCTCCTTTACCTCTTAAGCCTGCTCATGTAAAATATTTGGGCTTCTTACTTTGCTTGTTTATATAATATTAATAAAGGACAGAAGGATGAGTATTGCAACTATGTTATAAGAAATAAATTGGCTTTCAGTTCAGAATTATGTTCAGTGCATGACTGATATTTATTGATAAAATAAGAATGACATAGTACCATCGCATCAGATCTATTAGAAAAAATTCAATATAATTCGCAATATCACAACTATAATACAAAAAGCCAATCTGACTTTTATGTACGGCAAGCCATTACTAAAAGTTCCCAAAATACAATTTTTATTAAAGGTTAAAAAAATTTAATAGACTGCCTACAGAAATTAAAAACAAAACAATAAATGTATTCAAAAGTAACCTCAAACAATACTTGATAAATAAACAGAACAGATATATTTTCTTGTGATAATACTCTTTAAACCTGCCCTTTTTAAGTATTTCCCTTAATTTATTGTTATTTTACCCCTCATTTTACCCGCATTTAATATAAATTATTTATTTTGAGATCACATTAAATTAAAAAATTACTTGATGTTATATTAAAACTACTTACTATGTTTAAATTATTAATAGTTTTGCAAAGATAGGTTATAGCACCTTATAGCCACAAAACTATTTTTGTGTTAAAGTAGATCCATAGAGAGCAATATAATTTACAAAGACTTTCTTTCTACATACAAATAAATGACAATTAAAATAAAAAACACAACAAAATACCTCGGTATCATAATTGATCCAAATTTGAAATGGGCATTATATCCTACCTGTCTTTTATATAATAAAAAAGTGCCTTGTATAAGAACATTATATTATGTGTCTTGTTGTATCTTTATTTATAGAGCCTAAATTGAGATACACTACAAATTATTCGCAATAAATATCAAAAGAAGTATACATTTTTAAATAATTTGACATTTCAGAGCCATTCACATATCACAGTTGACATCTTGATACTTGACACGCACAGCCAAGCATTATTCTGATTTTTGCCAAATAAAATGGCCGGTTAATTATTCCATGGGGTTGTGACAGTAAATTTGATGAAGGTGTTTTTGTGGCTAGGGGCGAAATAGTAGTACGTTTAATAGCATCACCATAAAAAAGTCATTTTTAAGAAACTGCTTATATATTTTTAATAAATTGGCAGGCTTTGCGACTAATTTCGATTAAAAATAGCCTCCAAAATGGCTATGGTTGCAAGTATGAAGGTCGCAACCCGCCTTTGAAATTTCACTGTAACTATCAACAGCTGTTGTTTGACAGATCGTTAGAGAATGTTTGCAATTTATGGAATGTAAAGAATGTTAGGAATGTTGACGTTAAAAATCATTGGAATTTCTAAAATTGTCACATAAGGAATGCATAAGCGGATTTAAAAAAAATTGATATTAAAGTAGTTAGGATGAACCGAAAATTCTAAAACTCAATAGGGTTCTAAGTTAGAAGTAACTATTCAAGAAAATCAAAACCGCAACTCAATCAGAACTTTCGTTCTAGAGTTATCGTGCCGGAAAACATACACACAGACGACCAGATGAAATTTTTTTGCATTTTTGGAATGATCAGAAACATGAAAAAAAGTTTTAAAAATGGGGGTCAGAAAATTTTGACGTCTGCACAAATGCAATACTGAGGCCCCCTAGGAAGGGCCTTAGTAATAACTATTTTAATACATGATGACGGTCATAAATTAAATTAAACTATTTACGTACCTATGAATATACTTACGTAGACTGTGAAACTATTAAGAACTTAACTATGATTATGAATTTGGTAGATAACAATATAATCGTTATTTACAAGTAAATATTATCTACCTATTTATTTTCCATGTATTTTGAAACGTTATCTCCTAGATAATGTCAGAAACAAACTGTTATTATTTAACTATTTTTAGTTAACCTAGACAAGGTAACCTCACATTTTACCGTAGATATTGAAAATTAACCTAATATATATGTATATAAATTATTTAATACGATCTAACGCGACAATATTCTGATTGGGATTAACACAGCTCAACTGCAAAATTTACAGTATGTCCTATTGTTCGATCATGTATTAGGATAGATACGCCTTACTCATGGAAGTAGTGGGTTTAATGATTATTTAGACGGGAAGAGAGCAAAGGTACACAAACGGAAAACTTGGCAGTGCCGTACTGTATGGAAGGGGTTATATATTGTTAATTACTATAAAATGCTAGATGAAAACGGATGGACATGATTTTAAAAATATTGTTTTATAGCATATATTTTTAAATTTCAATGTAAGAATATATTATTTACTCAATTTTATAGGAATATTAATTATGTACTTTAAACAATTTGTATGCAGTTTGAGTAAAATATACCTACTATAAAGCTTGACTGATAAAGGAGAAAAGAAAATAGAAAAATATTGTGAAGAACCTGTTTTATATGTGAAGCAAGAATATTATACATACCTTCCTTTATGAAATAAAATAAAGACCAATTAATGCATTTTACTTATCACCCAAAAATAGTTATACACAAATACGGAAATTAATGAACTTTATTATTTTACAAAGTATTGTAGCAAAATTTTGCGGTACACAAGTTAGAGGGAACAGGAGAAATAATGACATTGTGTTTGTTATTTATTTTAACAATTCTAACAATGAATGAAGTGGTGTGATTAATTTAAAATGAGTAGCGTCGATTAACATTTTCTGATAATAAATTTTCAAATACCTATAATAGGATTTCCTAATTTAAAATGGTTTTATTTGGATAGATGACTATTTTAAAAAAATTTAAATGCAATTAAAAACCTACAAAGGTACATTTTATTTAAAAATTAGGTTCCATATTAAATATAATTAAAAATAAGCTTCAAGATTTAAGATTTAAAGACTTTATTTTTCTTTTTTTAAAATAATATTTGAAGTAGTTCATTCGTAAAACGGCTTTTCTTAAGAATTCAATAAAATTAAAATATAAGGTTAATGAAAGTGTCTTTTACGTACCTAACTAAAAAAAAATATATTTTTTGACCGTCTGTGAAACGAGATTTTAACAATTAAATTGTGCATAATTAACAATCATGAAGCCTGTCATGTACACAAGCAATGCATTTATTTCAAGATATCTCGAAAACAGTTCTTACTATATTGTTTAAAACCTAATGTAATGTAAATCAAGAAGTTATAAAAATTTTCTAAAAAAAACGTTGAATTTTTTTGACAGTTTTGGTAAAAAGATAGAGATTTTTAAAATAAAAATATTTTTAAAGCAGTCGACGCGTAGTGGGGTAAAATGATTACAACTTGGCAACATTGTTGGTTCAGAATCACTGAATTACACTTGATCAGCTAAGAGGTTGTTATAACCTCGTTACGTGTTCTTGAAAAATTTATTTGTCTACTGTATTTGAGAACTGGAATCGACGGTTCTGTTTGAACCAAAACAAACCCTTAAAATTAGTATGAGAAAGTCACAAATTTCACACAATGTTCACACTTGATAGCGCACCATTCATATATTTGTGACGTTGCCGGATGGATTTTACTTGAAATAATAACGTATCCGTACATAAGCTTACATGTATTGTGTTCAGTCTCTTCCAAAAATAATATTTTTCCGCATTGAGAATCTCATTTGGCGATATTTTTGTGTACGATTATCGCGCGTGAACTACCTTAATAATTATTACATGTAAACAACTCATTTTGAATTGGTCGGTATTAGATACCATAAGTATTTAGTATTGTCATGAAATTCCTAATCCGATCCTATGTACACGCGACCTTGGAAGTATGCCACTTGATTCATGATCGAAGCAATGCTGACGTGTGAAAACAGTCGGACGGCGTCTTGAATGTACAAGAAACGACGAAACCTTCTAGGTATGCCGCTGACGCTTCGAGAAACTGCCGTTGAGTCATAGAGATGGAATTTTCGGGAGCGCCTAGAAACGACGAGTACAGAATTAACTTGGTATAAATAGCCGACTCATCGGCGCACAGTTTTAGTTCAGAGTATTGGAATGAAAAGTTATAAAAGTTATAGAAGTTATAAATAAATTAGGATTATTAGTTAGTGACTAAGTATTATATAAATTTAATAGTACGACTGAAATAAATTGTAAATAGTGTGTTTTAAATAAATAAACTATAAATAAATTAGACTATCGTTACAGTATATTTACCTGCAGTAAAATTGTTTACAATTCAAAGCCCATTGGTTATATTTAGACAGTACTCCGCGCATATGAGAATATCATTATGTTCCTATATAATCCAAGGGGGTTTATCGTTTTGAATATTTTGTCTTGAAATTGAATTCTGATATTTCGAAAGAAGAGTAACTTCCATGGTTTCATGTAATATTCAACATTTTAACTGATAGTTGGCAACTTTGTAACCATTTTCAATTATTATATAGGCTCCTTATAAGCGCTAATAATAAACAATATTTTCATATCAATTTGCTTCTAATTGCCCAATGTATTCGTTTAACATGAAGAATTTCTTAGAATACTGAAGACTTTTACGTAAAAATTATTAAAAATTCTGATGCGATAGCTTTTGTTAAAAATAAGGGTAGATTATATATTAGATTTAAAAGGAGTTTGACATTATTTGTCGGTGTCCACCGCAACCTTTTCAGATCTATTGTGGGACTCCGTTTGTTTTAGAGTATGTCATCTAAGCTTGGACTTTTTTAATAGACTTAGTTTCGTTGACAGTGGTATCCATATGCATGTAGTTACATGTGTCTTGGCTTTTCTTCATCTAGTATCAGAAACCTCAATTTAGTTAGGCTTTCACATTGGTGCAGAACGTGGATTAATGTTTCCTTTTCTTTTTCACAGAACCCGAAAAAAGAATAAATTACAAAATATCTTAGAACTTAAAAATAATTTAATTTTGTAAAAGAAGTAAAATCTTACTTTTTAGAAGATACCTTGGAATATTCTACTTCTAGTACACAGCAACTACGGTTGCTTATTACATTGTTCTTACTTCTTTTTTGTAAAAAAGTAAAATGTATACGTGTATTTGATACGCCAAAATTACAAAATATCGCACTGAAGTGGTCGAATTATCTGCAGCTTGCGCTAGTATCGCTTTTGCTTCCCCTACCATAAGTTCGCACTGAGCGAATATAATCATCATACATTTCCCTCAACGAAGTATGTACTAAAAAAAATTATAAGTTTTTAATAATGGGTTTAGTACAATAAAAAAAGTTTACTTTGTGTATATTAAACTACAACTGGAAGACAGTTCTAAGCAATTTTTCACAGTATTTTAGACCTCAATAACACTTGGTTTTAAAAAGAATTGTTTAACTAGGTGTAAGTAGACGCTTGCAATAAATACCTATAAATTACCTTTTACCTATATCAATACGAAAGTATGTATATAAAGACATTTGTTTACTTACTCTATTGGCAAAACATTGGATTTCAAATAAAATGTTTGATTATTATAGCTAAATAAATCTTCAGGTGAAAAGTGATCTGAACAGACTTTGGCATCTTTCAGTTTTGAGATCTTCCTCATTTATTTTCAAGTTGTTCAGCCACAATGACGTTGGACAATGTCTCTCGGAAACCTGTAAATGTATATACCATAAAATAACCAGTTTCTACAATTAGGTATTTTTATATCAAGAAGTAAGTAAAACCCTAGCACAGTTGTTACGCCCATGGATATCTACATCTTTATGTTTCTTGATATAAAAAGTTATTTTTTAAAAAACAATTTTTATTTGAATTTAAATACAATACGTGTTTTTATCTACAAGTCTACAATCCTTCTGATGAAAATATTAATTATTAAATGAAACGTTAACTTTTGCCGAATCAGCACGTGTGACGTGCCGGCGATGTGGTCGATGTTTGATTCCATATATGGAGATGTTTATGGATGGTTTCTGATAACGTTTGTAGTTCCTATAACACAACTCCTCCATCCCCAAAAGGAACTCAAGGGTGTAACTGAGGTGGAACCACTTGAGTTGCGTCAATCGCAGAAGGCTTCTTCTTCTTCTTCTTCTTCTTCTCCTTCTTCTTCTTCTTCTTCTTCTTCTTCTTCTTCTTCTTCTTCTTCTTCTTCTTCTTCTTCTTCTTCTTCTTCTTCTTCTTCTTCTTCTTCTTCTTCTTCTTCTTCTTCTTCTTCTTCTTCTTCTTCTTCTTCTTCTTCTTCTTCTTCTTCTTCTTCTTCTTCTTCTTCTTCTTCTTCTTCTTCTTCTTCTTCTTCTTCTTCTTCTTCTTCTTCTTCTTCTTCTTCTTCTTCTTCTTCTTCTTCTTCTTCTTCAGTTTTAGAAATTGCGTGATTAATTTTCTGTTCCTTAGTATTAAGTATATAAGGGTCAAGCTAAAGAGGGACGAGCTAATTCCTGTTGCCCATTTGAAGGTTGTCTTATAGTTGAGAAATTCTTGTATAGGCTCGATACTATCTTCATTAAGTTGTATTTTATGTAATTTGTCCAGATGAATTTTTTGGAGGTGTATTTTTTGTATGCCGATGGTGGGGAATGACATCTCGCCGATATTTTCTAGTTTGATAGGGTGACCCTCTATGATGCTTTTCTCATTTTCATAGAAATATTTCTTAGTAGTTATCGAACATGTCGGTGGAATTATAAATAAGTAGGTACCGTGAAGAATGGAAACATCTGTATCTGCGCAATTTGATTTTATTTTCTCTGGTTCTGGAAAAATGCCGATGTAATGGCTTTCATTGATTTCCTCTAATAATTGGCCGGAGATTCGAACGGGTATCTGTCGACATTGTGCAGGGGATGATGTAACTGATAAAATTGAAGTTATGT